AATTATGCTCCGTTTCTCCAAACTGTCGTTAAAAAGCCATCTACAGCAGGTAAGATATTTACTGATCATAATGTATCTGCAGAATCCCACACTTGCATAAAGTCAGCTCAAACTTTTCTGCACTCAGATAGTTTCAGGAATTGTTTTATATTTCCTCCTTCAGTTCCGAACCACTATTTGCAGCCTTTTACTGTGCTGCAGTTTTTATTATATTTTAATAAACCTTTAATTTCTCCTCCTCCTGCAGTGGAGCCATCTTCACCACTTTACATTTGGTGCACAGGAAGACGATCTGCTCCAGCAATTAAGTTTTTGATGCTCACTTCCTGTTTTTGAAGGGATCAAAATACCTTCAACCAGGATTAAGAAACCAGATAATCCAGATTTTGTTTGGGTCACATTTCCAGAATCGGGGCACCGTGTATGTTTCTGTTAGCTTGTGTGTTTTCATGTTGTGTTACCAGCAGTAAGGCCTGCTCCTGCAGGAGTTGCTGCTGCAGGATCTCCAGCTGCCTCTGCTCCTCCTCCAGCTGCCTACGGATATACTCCTAACCAACCAGAGCCCGGGCCGGGCGCCAGACGCAGCCAATCGGAGAGCGACCAGGCGGAACAGAAGCCAATTGAAGCCCCAGGCAACCAGTGATGTCAGCAGAGCAGGAAATAAGAAGAAGGGCAGACAGAAGGAGGTTTACAGAGGAGGTGTTAGACCAGAGACTTCACCAGAAACAGATAAGTAATGAAACAAAAAGGAGCAGCAGGGGGTGTAATTAGCAAAGAAGAAAGATGAGCAGATTATTCCAACAGTCAAGATGAAATCAGCTGTGAGCCAGGAAGATATTTATATCTGAGAAGGGAAAGTTAATGAAGCGTTTCACTGCAAGAAAATGTTAATTTTAGTGCTTTTCTCCTCCGATAAACTACAGCCTGAAGACATCTAATAAGTTCAACACCACCAGGAAACATCTGCAGAGGAGTCTCTAAATGATTTCTAGTATATTTAATCATCACGTTCTCTCCGTTCAAAAAAATAAAACCAGTCCTAACAACAAGAACATACAAATGTTTTGTTTTTTAAGTCCAACTAAACTGTTTATAAATAATAAGCAATATTAAATAATTGTTGTGGAAGTTTTTGAATTAATTTATGAAAAAGCTTACAGCCCCCCAAAAAATAAATAAATAAGTAAATAAAAATAAATTTAAAGACCTTCAGATAATCTGAGGATCTACAGATTAGGACCACTGTAAGAGATTACATGGAAGTCTTGCTGCATGAGAGCAAAATGTAACAAAATGAGGGTTGGTTTAAGACTTTTGCACAGTACTTTACTAGAAAAATATTAAGCCCTGTACTTTTAAATGACGTTTTATGTTTTTCGCCTGTTGTAATTTTTTTTAAATTAAAGGTATCAGTGTTGGAATCAGAGATGCGTTTTCAGTGAGAGTTCATGAGGCATTAAGTCCCGCCCCTTTTTTGGACTTGCCCAATTTTGGGGAATTTGTCAGTTGGGTGTTTTTCCTACCTGCTCTCTCTCAGCGTGCCTCCGCTCCTCCTCCCGGCGGAGCTGCTCCATCTCCTCGTACCTCCTCCTCTGCTCCCGCTCCTGCTGCTTCCTCAGCTCCCGCTCCCGTAGTTGTTGCTATAACGAGATTAACAAGTCAGAGCCTCGGCTGTGTTCGCCCAGTGCTCCACGGCTGCGGTGGGTTTACATCAAGTTTTAGGTTTAAATAACCACAAGTTCATTTATTTACATACACAGCTCTGTCAATAAAAACATTGACGCTACCTCCTCCAGCCGTCGCCGCTGCTCCTTCTGCTCCTCGATCCGTTTCTGCCTCTCGGCCAGCAGCTGGCGCTTGTGCTCCTCGTTCTGCTGCTGCTCCAGCTGCTGGCGCCGGATCAGCTCCGAGCGCTCCTTGTTGGCCAGCTGGAGGCGCAGGAAGTCCCGCCTCAGAGTGGACTCACCGGGGATGTTGATGATGGAGCTGAAGGGAGCCGACAGGAAGAGAGTGAGGATCTGATTCGGTTCTGACCGACCCGTTTAACACAGACTGTCTGTCAATGCCCAAACCAATGATTTCATTTTCATCACACAGTTCAAACTGATTCTAAAAGTTCATTAAAATGTTTAAAAGCTATTTCATTCATATTTCAGACTCTGGCACCGCAGTCAGAAAAACAACTTTTGTTTACACTGGTCCTAAAGTTGTTTATTTCTGTCAATAAAGTTGAAAAAGATGTACATTTGGTTTTAAAAAAATCTGGCCTTTTTCTTTGTTTTAACAAAAATGTTTATGTAAAGATTTACAAACATATAAATGCATTGTAATGTTTTCCACAAATATTCAGAAACTGATACCAGAATTAATTTCTTTTAGTGTAAACAAATTATTGATTGTTGTTTTTAAAACTGTCATAGCCCACTGATTGTAACATCAAACATATTAACGTAATTAAAGGCAGTATTTTGATTTTAATGGTATTGAACACATTTTGCTTCATAAGACCATTAAACACAAATTTTGTTCTGATTCCAGGCACAACTTATTGTCCTACATGACCCGAGCTAAATTTTTGTCCTAAAAATGATTCAGAGCACAACTTTTTAACCTAAAAATGACCCTGAACACAACTTTTTGTCCTAAAAATGACCCTGAACACATCTTTTTGTCCTAAAAATGACCTTGAACACAACTTTTTGTCCTAAAAATGACCCTGAACACATCTCTAATCTATATAAAGACATTGAACACTTTTTCTTTGTCATAACTACATTCCATTCTGTATTTTATTTTGTAATATCACTGACTTTTTGTTTCATAATGACATTGAACACAACATTTAGTTTTAGATTGGCCATAAATGCAGCATTTTTTTCATAATGATATTGAATGCATTTTCTTTTCCCCATAATAACAACAAATGCAATTTGTTTGGGTTCCTTAAAAACACTAAACATATTTTTGCTCCATAATGACAGTGAATGCATCATTCCCTTCTGTATTGACATGAATGCAGCATTTATTCCATAATGACATTGAATGCAACATTTTGTTTTATGCTGACCTTGAACCACTTGTTACATAACATTAAATGCATCCTTGTTTTTCCAGAATGACATGAAATGTTTTTTTTGTTTTGTTATTGTTTTGTTTCTTAAAGGAACTGAACACATAGCAGTCCATAGCAACTCTGAACGCAACACATTATTTCGTACTGAACTTAAATGCAACATTTTGTTCGATGATAGTGTCTCAGTCTCCTGTCTCTCTTGTCTGGACGTCTCAAACTGATTCAGTCACTTGAAACAGTTTTATTCATACTAATACAAACTTAAATATTAAATAGTAAACAATTAAAAGTACCGATGTTGAAAGGCGTCTGTATTTCAACCCATTAGCTGAGGTCGCCTCAGACCCTGATCCTGGTACCTGAGCGTCAGCAGGACCGTTCTTACCTGGGCTCTCCGACGTCCCTCTCTTCATCCTCTTCCTCGCTGCCGCTGTACTCGTACTCTGTCTCATCTGTAACAGACAGAATCACGTCAGACACTCAGGTAAAGCGGCTGCAGGTGAGTCGGCGGACGTTCGGCCTCACCCCTCTCCCCCCGCCTCTTCTTGGTGCGGTCGATGTGGTCCTTCAGCTGGATCCGGACCTGCCGCTCGTTGGTCAGGTCTCTGATGAAGGGGTGTTTGAGGAGCTGCTCGGTGCTCGGCCGCTGGCTGTGGCTCTTCACCAGACAGCTTTCTATGAACGACTGGAACTTCTTTGACCTAACGGAACAAAAACACATGCAGGCGCACGAGTTCAGCTGGTTACTATCACAGATTCACTCGTTTCAAAGGGTTCGTTTTAGATTTAAAGAGGATTTGTTTTAAACTGTTGCAGATTTGGCAGCTAAAGTTGCACATTCAGTCTCTGTTTTGTGACCTTCTGTGTATCCACCGGTTGTTTGCATGGAACGAAGAGACTCACCACTTCTTCGATTTGAGTCTCGGGGCAGGATTCCTGGGGATGAGGAAGAGCGCTCTCATCGGATGCATGTCGCACAGAGCTGAGGAAGGAGAGGAAGGAGAGGAGTGAGAAAGAGAAGAGGAGGAGGTGGGGAAAACAAATTAAGAGACAGAGTAGAGTAATCAAGGAAGAAGGAATGAGGAAGGGAAAGGAAAGAAGGCCAAAGAAAAGGAAAGAAGGCCAAAGGAAAGGATACCATAGGAAAGGAGGTCAAAGAAAAAGGAAAGGAAATAAAAAGAAAAAGGAGGCCAAAGAACAAGAAAGGAGGCCAAAAAAAAGAAAAGGAGGTTAAAGGAAAAGGAAAGAAAGCCAAAATAAAGAAGATCAAAGGAAAAAGAGGTCAAAGGAATGGAAAGAATGTCAAAGGAAAAGGAAATAATGTAAAAGGAAAAGGAAAGGAAATAAGGCCAACGGAAAGGATGTCATAGGAAGGGAGGTTAACGGAAAAGGAAAGAAAGCCAAAAGAAAGAAGATCAAAGGAAAAGGAAATAAGTTAAAATGAAAAGGAGTCCAAAAAACAGGAAAGGAGGCCAAAGAAGAGAAAATAAGGTCAAAGGAAAGGAAAGGAAAGAAAGCCAAAGGAAAGTAAAGAGAAGGAAAAGTAAGGAAAGGAGAGGAAAGGAAACAAAAAAAAAAAAGAAAGTCAAAGGAAAGGAATAGAATCCAACAAAAGGGAAGTAAACTTAAAGCAAAAGAGCACACCAAAGAAAAGGAAGTAAAAAGGAAATAAAAAGAAAGCAAAAGAAAAGTAAGGAAAGGACACCAACAAAAAGGAAGTCAAAGAAAAAGATAGGAAAAATGAAAGGAAATTAAAACACAAAGGAAATGAACAATGAAAAGGAAACCAAAATAAAAAGACAGAAAACAGAAGAAGATGGATGGAGACACTGATTTATCAGTTGAAGTTGGAAACAAACTGTGCTGCTTTCGGCTGATAGCGGTGTTAATCACACTTACGTGGCGCTCCCTCTGCCATCTCTATAGCCGTGATGCCGAGCGACCACAGATCACTCTGCAGAGAGAAAAACACACGAATCGTTCACTTCCTCTCCACGTGTTCCCGACTCAACACTTCTCGCTCCTGCAAGACTCGTCCAACGGTCAATGTTCCCGTCAAGTGATAAAAATACAGGCAGAAAAATTACCCATCTGCCACTACTGCTGCAGATCCCTGCCGCCAACATTTCACCAGAGTTTGGTTTGAGCAAATAGCTGCTGTAAGACGAGCGGAGTCACACGAAGCCCCGGAGGGTCGGAGTTAATGGCGTGGGCGCTCATCCTCCACCGACTCGCCGCGGGGGCTCGTTCTGTCCCCATTAAACCAGAAAGCACCGCACATTCACTGGTTCTCATTTGTCCCCTGTGCTGTCGAGTGGTAAGGATCAGAGATTACAAATAAAATGGAGATTTCTTCTAAAGGCCATGTTTGCTGTTTGTTCGCATGCTTCAAGCAGTTTGAGATATCGAACGTTTGGAGCGCAAAAGAAAACGCACACAAAAAAAACATGTTTTTAATGTGCTGTAACTATCCCACGTTTGGAAGGTTTATCAAAAACAGCTTTTTCTGCTGAGCTTAAAAGTTCTCAAGAAGAATCTAAAGGTTTATAAATGCTAACAAACTTTAAAAATAGTTTTAATCAAGCTAAAGTTGGACGTAGAACCTAATGTGAGTTCAGACTGGCAGAAATCTCTACAAGGAACAATTTGACATCAAATGATAAAGTCCAAAATCTGCACCTTGGACTCAGTTTATTATGGCTGAAATCAATTCCTAAACCAGTACAGACAATAAAAACTGGGCTAAATTTAGTCCAGATTCAAGTCCCAGCCTTACACGTAAACTTCACTTAATCTTAGTTATCTAGCTCATAAGCGACTGATGGATGAACGGAGAGTATTTGCCCGGCAACTGGAAATAAAAAACAAACTTTTGGTCTCAAACAAGACAGCAAGTTTGAAAACTATCCAAGTGTAGAAAAAAAAATCCAAGTCAGTCTAAAGTATGTCTAAACCCAGTCTGTTTGCTTAGACCCCTACATTTTTTCCAAGAGTTCAGTCCATGATAAGAGCAGTCCTTCATCAGTCTGAGGTTCTTCGGACTGATGAAGTCCTTTGGATGAAGGACAAAACGTCACAACAACAACAAAAAACAAAAGAAACCGTCTAGATGACCTGACTTAACTTTGTTGGATAAAGATGGACGATACTGAGGCGGTGTGGGCGGTGTCTACGGAGGTTAGAACATATCAACAAGAGTCCTGCAGCAGCTCAAAGGAGGTTTAAAATCCAGTCAAGAGTCAACACTAAAGGAGTTTAAAACCTGCCAAAAGCTTGTACAAAAAAAAAGTTTAAAACTTGTCCAAATCCAGTCCAGTAACCCATCTAACAGCTGAAAATCGTCCTTCTCTCACAGGTAAACCCTCATCAGATATACCTTGAAGTCGTAGGTGGCGTCTGGGTTCTCATCACAGGCGATGACCTCAGGAGCCATCCAGTACGGCGTCCCGATGAACGTGTTCCTTCGTCCCACCGTGCGATCCAACTGAGCGCTTACACCAAAGTCCACTGTGGACACACAAAGGAAGCTGCTGTTTTAAAGCTGTTGGGTATTTCCTACATTTATAACTTGAGTTGAGTTTACTTACCCAATTTGACCTCGGCGTTCTCCGTCAGCAGAACATTCTGGCCCTTGATATCTCTGTGGATCACCTTGTGCTGATGGAGATGGGTCAGACCCTGAAGAAAGACAGAAAATATTTCAGAACATGTCAAACATGTCTGCCGAGACTCATTTTTACATGAAAACCTACTTTCATTGAATCTAAAACATGTTTTACATGAGTGATGGACCTACCCGGAGTCCCTCAGGGAACCTGTTTGGGGTTTCTTTAGTTTAAGAAAACAATATTTCTGTATTTACAGTTATCTGTGTGTCAGTTCTGGTTCTCACCCTCAGGATTTCCCTGCAGATGTAGGCGATCCACTCCTCCTTCAGAGTGTTTCCTTTGGTGTTTTTGATCAGATCTGTCACCGAGCCAGCCCCGCAGAACTCCATCACCAGCTGCACACGCAACAAACCAACCCAGAGGGTTTCAATTCTGTTTAGAGATCAGATTTGAAACAGTTTAGTTTTGTCTACACAGAGAGGCTCGTACCCACAACTGGTCGTCCATTCCTGGAGGGTTTTTCTTTATGAAGGCTCCATAGTAGGTGGCGATGTTGCGATGGTGGCTGTACTTCTTCAGCATGTTGATCTCAGCTTTAATCTCCTCCTCCTCCTCCTGAAGCACAGAGAAGTAAAGATGAAGCAGAGGACTTTTCTGCAATGTGTCTGAAATGAAAGGTTGAGTGTGGGACACGTACTCCGGTGACATCCATGACCTTGATGGCAGCCAGTTGACCTGTTTTGACATGGCGACCCTAAAAAACACACAGAACATGTCAAGTCAGCTTCTTTTCCTAATCTGCATACAGAACGACTTGACCGTCAACAGTCATGAAGGAAAACAAACTCCTTCCTAGTATTTTTATCTAAATTTATAGTTATTTCATTTAAAAAAAATCCTCTTTAATGAACTCCAGAGATCACATAATTCAGATCCTCAGGAGATGATCATTTCTGTTGATACTTTATGGTCATCTGAAAGCAGTTAAATATTTCAAAATATAAAAATAAAACTAAGACAGAAATTACATCCTATATTTAAGGTTAGCTCTTCTTGTGATTTTATATAATTTTCTAAACTTTTCCATTGATTTTCCATGTTTACTCGAGTGAATCCTGAGTCAACCTCAGTTTTTTTGAACAATCTCATTACATTCTGCAGAATCAAAACATTCGGCTCACTCAGGAGATAGGTGCTGTGACTTTTGGTTTTTGTTACTTTTATACTTGAAAAAAGAACCTGGTTTACAAATATTTCCCCATACAAGTACCTAAAGATCTCTTTTACTTTAAACAGTTTTTAAAATTTGCTTCAGCGATGAGCTCTATTTTTTATCTTATGCTAATTTTATCTTTTAACTAACCTTTTGAGACAAATTGAGCTAACATTTGATTACTTTTAGGAAGTCTTTTGCTACATTTGCATTTAGCTAACATTTAGCTAGCATTTTGCTGCTTGAAACCTGACCTGGCATTGCTACTTTTAGCATCTAGCTACCACTTTGCAATTATTAGCTTTTAGCTAGCTTCACGCTACATTTAGCTTTTAGCAGGTCTTTTTGTTAATTTTTAGCTAGCATGTCATACTTTTTATTAACTACCCTTTTGATACTTGAGCTTTTAGGTAGACTCTTGCTAGTTTTAGTTAAAATTTGTTGATTTTTAGCGTTTTGCTATTTTTAATATCAATTTACCACTTTGTTATTTTTAGCTTTTGGCAAAAATTTTGCTAAATTATGCTTTTAGCTAATTTTGTGTAATTTACAAAAAAACAACACAAATAGCTAACCCTTTGCCCCGTTACCTTTTAACTAGCCTTTGCTACATTTAGCTTTCAGCTAGCTTTTTGCTTCATGTGGTTTTGAGCAAGGCTCTTGGTGTTTTTAATTAGTACGTAACTCCTAGCTGGTATTTTGCTTCATTAATCTTTAGCTAGTTTTCTCCTTTAAACTTTAAAAACCCAGTTTCAAACTGTACTGGTATTATTTGTTGCTGTTTTAATTTTGTAATACCTGAGCTGTGACCCTTTGCCCATATCTCCTGTGCTCCCAGTAGGAAAAACAGCTGAAACACATGGATCTTTGTAGGCAGGATTAGAGGTGGAGATGTGATGTTGTTGCTCCAGAAAGTAAACGACAACAACAAACAGGACAAATGATGGCTGAGTTCGGCTCAGCTGAGCAGCTTCCTCTAAGGAGACGTTACCCAACATGGGTTTGTTGTGTAATTCTCGTGTGTCATTTTGACCCAAGGGCAGCAGGAGGGTTAAACATTCACATTCAGACTGGACTGTTTTTATTGTGCATGTCAGCGATTTTATAAATTTAAAATTTTTGTTCAAAACACGACAGCATTCAAAAATATTCACGAGAACTTACAGATCTCTGAATGGGTCAGCTGATTATCACCTAATGCCAAAAAAATACTTTTTTTTAAAAACAGAAAACATACCTTATTAAACACAAAGATGGCTTTAAGTCAGAGAGTTTTAAAGATGTTGGGTTGAAACTTGGTGTGGTAGTAGCTGAGATTCATCCCCAACACATACTCTGAGTTAAAATGATTGAACAACAAAAAAAAAAAAGATCAGGACTTAAACGCTGTAGTTTTTCAACACAAAATGATGATTTTTGTTTTAAATGTTGCCTTTAAAGCTAGTGGGTGATGAACATTCCTTCAAGGAATGACGTGTGTTCAATTTATTTAGAGTTAGACGTCCAGTTCAGGACTTCCTGCTTCAGTAGCACCTTTTTATTTCATTCAATAAGTTCATATTTTAGATGTCTGCCTCACTTCCTCTTGTGTTTTAATCTCAGCCTGGAGTTAAAGTGAAATCCAACCCTCGGTTCCCTCCTCTGAAGCCAAAAACTGGAAATTCATTCATGTCGGCATGCACGCTGTTTCCTCCTGGTAACCTAGCAACAGGCCCTGGCAGCGAGGGCAGCGAATGGGGAGGCAAAGTAATGGCAGCGTGTGCACTTGGGTTTTTTTTTTTTGTTTGTTTTCACACGCTGGGTCACTTGAGCATGCGAGCTGCTCAGATTCACACACGGCGTCTCGGTTACTCAGCGTTGCATCAGAAACCGAACAGATCTGACAGGAAGACATCACCTCACGTCTCCGCGCCTGCTCCTTCCTTTGTTCGTCTATCGCCTTTTGTTCCTCGGGGTGAACATCCAGCGTTTTTTATGTCGGTGTCGATTTTATTTATATATCACATTTTAAAACAGCAATGTTGACCAAAGTGCTTCACAAACAGGAAATCTGGCAATAAAATAAATGAAAGATCAAACATTAAAAACACAGGTATAATTTAAAAAAAGTTAAGGACAAACTACAACGAGAAAATAACAAACTCAAGAGGTTCTGGTGGAACTCAAGCAGAACTTTAATTAAAAGCCAGTGAAAAATGTGAGTTTTTAGGTGGATTTAAGGGACTGAATTGACTCTGCAGAACGGATATCAATGGGTAGGTTGGTCCAGAGTCTGGGGTCCTGATCCCCTCAGAGCTTTAATTTAGCCCTCGGCTGCACTAAAAGCATCCGACAGGAGGATCTCAGTGTTCTGTTTGGGTTGTAAAAGTACCAAAGATCCATGAAACAACTGGGTCCCAACTTAGCCATTTAAAACTTTAGAAGTTAGTAAAAGAATCTTAAAATCAATATGAACGTTTACAGATAGCCAGCTAAAACTGGACTGATGTGGTCCTGCCTTCTGGTTCCTGTTAAAAGATGACAGCAGCGTTCTGGACCAACTGCAGGCGATGGAGAGACGAATGTTTTGATCCAACATATGAGAGAGCTGGTGGTGATGAAGGCCTGGAGAAGAGTTTAGAGGTCTTTAAGAGGAATGTAAGATTTTACTTTGGCTATAACCGTATTTTTTTGGCCTATAAGTCTTGTTTTTTTGCATAATTTACATGCCCTCCGACTTATACGCTGAAGCGACATATTTATGGATTTTTTGCCATATTTATAAACCAATTTTTGCCTGAGATGACCGTTTTCATTCATTCTGACTGAAAATATTGAACACTACCATTTTCCGCCGCTAGATGGCACTTGAGTTGTATGGCATGCCGTTGTGTCATGTAATAGGTAAAAGTGGCTATTGATGACACAATCAGCTTGCCATAGAGGCCACCTTCGTCCATATCCGAGATCATGCCTGGAGCAATCATCAAATCAGCTTCATTTTGCTGCGCCGCCCCGGTGAAATGCAGCTGATTTGAACATTGAAGTGCATTTATTAAATAAAAGTTCAACTGAGACACACCTTTATTATATTGTTGAGCAAAATAATAATTTTCTTAGCTGCTTATCTTGTTAAACTTTGAAGAAATGCACAGCGAATCATCCCTCTGTGCGCTCCTGCTTCTGCATATTGGCTTTTAAAATGCAGCTGATTTTCAACCTTTATTTAGACTGATAAGTCACATTGAGCCTAGAAGACTCATTTACAAGTGAGATCTGTTTAGACAGACAAAAAGTAGTGAAACTGGACACGTGTAGGAATTAGAGGCGAAAAAATTCCTATCAGACTCTTTCTTCTTAGCTGAGAAGAAAAACTCTAATATTAAAAAAACACCTCGCACAAACAAGCGCATAGTGACGTAGACATTCTGCAGAGGGGGACGACGAGAGCTTGATCAGTTGGAAATGGGGGGGGGGGGGGGGGGGGGGTGGTAGCGTCAGATCACATGTTCTCCAGGCGACTTCAGATAAGATAGCCTTCAAGGCCAACCAAGGGAGCCAAATTCAGATAGTTGTTTTGGGGACAGGCAGAACTTAATGACATTTACCTTGAGTCTGTGTTGGTCCACTCGGTTCCAAAATGTCCAAATTACATGGCCACACCGATGGAATGTGCCTGAGTAAAATCCCGAAGATCTGATCCATTCAGCCCAAAGCATTTGAGTCCGGGTACTCGAGGCACGAACCAAGCCATCATAAGGCAAGCAGCGTGATCGGGTCCGAATTTGCTGCCGACGACTTCCTTGATTGTTGATAAAACCAGCAACCAGCCGAATCCAAAAAGCAGGAACCAGTTATCGTAAATCCAATTAAATATGAGTCCTTAAAAGCCACAAATGACAGCAGAGATAGACACATCATCAAGTTTTCAAGTCGATGAGATATCCAGCTGCATGCGTGCCAACAGGGCAAATCGGCTCGCCTAATTTGATTTGACCAATACAGTGCATTTATTAAGGAAATGTTAGACTGAGATACACTTTTACTATAATTTCGAGCAAAACAAATAATTGTTTTTTTAAGTGTTCATCTTGTTAAATTCTTGTTAAAGTGAATATATTGAATTATCGTCATGATTGGTGCCTTTTTGTGTTCCTGATGTTCCGGTTAGACCTCACTACGAGGTAAGAATTTTTGCTAAACCTGGTTTTGGTAAAATTTTCAGGCACGTATGGCCTCCCAATACCTGTGATGACTTCAGGATTCAGGTTTTTTGAGTTAAGGCCAAGGGACTGGGGGGAGTTTTCATATAGGTACTTGGGCGTTTTGATTCTGAGTGACGGTAGAATGGAACAAATGGATCCATGAATCAAGGCCTCGTCCTCAGTAATGCGAGAGTTGCTTTGGTCAGTTGTGGTGAAGAAACAGTTGAGTCTAAAGGTAAACCTCTGGACTTACTGGTCTATGTTTCAGCCCTCACCTGTGGTCATGAGGTTTGGATCAGGACCAAAAAAACTAGATCCTGAATACAACCGGCTGAAATGAGCTATTCTTCATGGGGT